CAGGGGAGGTTCATCGATCTCATGATGGGGGAAGAGGAATGGACACGGATTTTGCTTTGGGGTGACAGCTCCTGGAGCCCAGGAAGGGCTGGAGCTGTGCCAGGCCTTGGCATGGAGCTCAGGGAAAGGTTCTTCCCCCCGAGGGTGCTGGCACTGCCCAGGCTCCCCAGGGAATGGTCCCGGCCCCGAGGCTGCCAGAGCTGCAGGAGCGTTTGGACAGCGCTCTCAGGGCTGCTCAGGGTGGGGCTGTTGGGGGGTCTGGGCAGGGACAGGGGCTGGATTTGATCCCTGAGGGTCCCTCCCAGCTCTGTGACCTTTTCAGCTTTTCCCTGCCCAGGCTCAGTAATGTCTCACAAAGATGCCTCACAGCAAGGTGACTTTTCTTCCTTGTGTTCTCTTTCCCACAGAAATACATAACTTAAATAAAGAGGCTCAGAATCGACTCCTGTATGAGTTTGTTCCTCCAGACGACCTGCTGCAGAACAGAATCTGAATGATGACTACTTCCTGATGCCCTCAGAACTGTAGGCTTTGCTGCCCCATGGGGCAGATTTGGAGCTCTAAGGGGGACACTCAGCGTTATTTTTCTGTCCATTTTCCTGCCTTCTTGTGCATCCTCTTTGGAGCCCTTCCAGTGATGAGAGACCAATATGCTGTGCCCTCTAGGTGAGAAAAATAGGGGCTGGAATTCAAACCTATACAGCATTTCCAAGTGTTTTCTCTGCTATCAGGTTATTCTGCAAATGCCATTTCCTAGCTACACTTAGAAGCTAAGTCCAGGCCTTGTGCTTAGCTAAACTGCTGTTCGAGGAAAGATGGCTGAGAAGTATTTTGCTCAAATTATAATAATAAAAATCAGTGTGTTTTTCCAATTGTGACATAGCAAGAGGCTACTCATCTTCACCAGTGCATCAGTCTGCACCCATGAGAGAAACACTTCCCTGTGGCTCCATAATTCAGGGAAGCTCTTGGGAGGTACATTTTACCTGAGAAAACTGAAATCCACTGCCAGGGCTGAAAGGCTTCATGTCTGCTGCTGTCTGCAAGCCTCAGGTGGGTGTTTGCAGCCTCAGCAGAGGCAGGGATGAGGTGGGGGAGCCCCCTTTGTGTTGCACTACGTGCTGACAGGGGCTGCTTGCAGCCTTCTCAGCCCCTTTCTCCTCAAAGCCTGGCCTGAAAATGAACCTGGCCCAGGCACAGCCCTTTTAAATGTTTGCCTGACTTCACCAACCCCTTTTATTTCGCTCCCACTGGCACCCAGCACAGCATGTTCTGGCCCTGGTACTCCCTGGCCAGGCCCTGGCTCTGCTGGCCAGTACCAATCCCTGGTGTCACAGGCTGGACTCCCTCGGTCTGACCTGCCCCAAGCAACGTGGCAAAACTTAAAAAGAAAAGCTTTGTGTTTCCAAAAGTGCAGGAGCCAAGATTTCTGAGTTTCCCTTCCTGCCTGGAGCAGCATTGTTCTCTTTGGAGGAGTTACATGCAATTGCCTCTTGCAAAATAGTGTTAATATTTTATCTTCCCACTTCTATTGTTACCAGGACCCAGAGCAGGGTGGAAACTCCATTTGAGGGTGTTTATTGGTGAATGGAAACAGAAAAAAAAAAAAAGCCCAGCTCCATTCATTTTTAAGGCTTGTTTACACAGGAACCATGACAAGAATATATCCCAGTATAGACATTCCATTCCAGAATAAAGGCAAGTTTATTCCAGAAAAATGTCCACATGGGGACAACCAGGAGGTATCCCAGAGCTTGGGCATGTGTAGTTTCCAGTTCTTTTTGTCTGGGGCCAGACATTTGCAGAATGCAGTTGACATGATGAAGGTCTGGGTCTTGAAGTTCCCAGGAATTTCTGAGCTGCCTCATTGGCAGCTTTGCCAGCCTCCCCTCATGGCTGCTCCAGGATCCTGCTGGGATGAGGGTCCTGCCCCACATCTGGGGTGTGCAGGGACAGATCCTGCCCTCACCCTGGCAGCTGCATTCCTGCCTGGCAGGTAAATAAATGCCTTTAAACTAAATTCCACCTCCTGCAAGCAACTGTCCTGGCAGGCACTGGCTATTGTGTACACACACAGGACTGAGTCAATATTTATCCCTGGGTGAATAACAGGCATAGTTATAACAGGCCTAGTGTGAGCTGCAACAAGATTTCTTTTTTCTTTTTCTTTTTTTTTTTTTTTTTTTTTCCTTTTCTAAAACTGAAAACTGCACAATACAAACCCTGCTGTTTGCTCGTTCAGGCTGCAGCTGTTTGGTGCTGTGAGTTGGGAGGATGAGGCATTTGGTCACCCTGGTGATGTCTGTGACTGGCTTCATCCAGGAGATGGGATCTGTGTTCTGGATGCCTCAGTCCCTTCCTGGTTTTCCTTTCCTGCTCTCTCTCACCTATTGTACTCCCAGTGAATGCTTCTGGAGAGATATTTTAAGTCATTTTAAATTGCTTGGTCCTCTCACAGATCCTTGGGCACTCAGACCTCCCCCTGGGGATGGAGGAGGTGAGGATGAGGAGTTCCAGCCAAGAATTAAACCTGGCTTTCTTCACTTTCCTCAGGCTGTGGGACATGTAATGTCCTAATTCCAGATGCAGACATCCCCCTGTTGCTGCCAGGTAAATAATTCCTGCTGGTGGTGCCAGCCCATCAATCAGGGCCTTGTCTGAGGGATCTCTGTGCCAGTGCTTGAGGCAGAGGAGTCTGGCTTCTGTTTTACAATTCAAAGTAAAGCCAGAGAGCCCTGGACCCTCAGAAGGCAAAGGCAAAGCAGTCTTAATGTCCTCAGAGCCAGACAGAGCAGGGCAGTGTGTGGGAGGGCATCTGACAGGATTTCTGGATCCTGACTTCACCCCCAGCCTTGGCACTTCCAGTCCCTCTGCTCTTGGCAGCCTCTGCCTCCTCCTGCTCTTGCTACACCAAACCAGCTCCTCTTTGTGGCTAAAAAGAAAAAAGGTGCTTTTATTTAAGGAATTGATCAATGAACCTGCAGTTCCACCACTGTGGTTGCCTTTTCCCCTGATCAAAGGGATAAAGGAGAAGGTCTCTGCTCTCTTCTCCACCCCAGCTGAGGTTCCAGAGCTTTCCCCTGTCCCACATTTGCTGTTCATGTTTCTTTTAACCATTATTCATTCTTATCTAGGGGGGAAAAAAATCATAGCTTGTTTTTCTTCCATTCTTCAACATCCTGCTTTTGGAATACAGAAACTGTAGGACTGGATCCCTGAGCACCACTGGACACAGCACAGCTGAACAGACTCAAAGCCATTCACAGGCTTAGGCCCAGCTCTGCTCAGTCTCCCTCCTGTCCCTGAGAGCACAAGGACACCTCAGGCTCCCACTTTGTGCACCTCAGCCAGGCAGTTTAGAGAGAAAGATTGGTTTTATTGTTTTTTCCACAAAGGAAAAGACCAGCTGGGTGCTGGAAAGCCAAAGCCAGCAAGGCCAGCAGCTGCTGCTGCTGCCTTGGGCTGTTTCTGGCTTAGAGATTTTGCCTCCCTCTGTCAGAGAGATGTTTCTCCTTTCCTTTTACTGATGGTCCCTCACTGCAAAAGGAGAAAAGTGCCAGTGGGTTTGTAAGACACAGAAATCTCTTCTTTCATCGAGTTCTGTGACTGAATAGCTGCAGCAGTGCTAGTTATCAGTGATTGATGCTTGCAATCCTTTCAAGAAAATTAATATTTATATATTTGTAACTGTACATTATGCAGAGTAATCATTACCATGGTATTTATTTTAAAGCAATAGTTCCCCTTGTTCTTTCTTGTCCTGTGTTTTGGTCTTGCCGCTTCCCCTCCTTCTTAATCAGCCTCAGTAGAAAGCAAATACCAGAAGAATGTTCAGCTTGCTTGAAGAACATCCCCAACACACTAGCACTTGCTTTGCTCACACTGACTGTTGACATTTAATGCACAATAACCTGGTTTTCATTATTGTGAATAGAGCAACTATTTAGAAAACTTCTACCAGCCTGGGTTTGGGTTTGGGTTTTTTTTTCATCCCTACTGTTTCTGACTGAGTGCCCAGCACCCAGAGCCCAGCTTTGTGTTTTCCCCTCTTTTTGCCTTTTGCCCCCACAGGTACACACAAACAGCTCTCTGACCAGTTGTTGGTTTGTTCACACACATCTTAGCAAGTCTGAGTCCAGAAAAGTGTTTGTTTTAGATTCTGATAAATATTTTATTAAAAACTGATTTTAAGACAATCCTCTCTGCCTCTTATTCATGCTTTATGTTGTCAAGCCTGTGCTGGGAACACTAAAGAATTAAGAAGCTCTAAAGAGGTTTATTGCTCATTTTCTACCTGGCTGCTCACAGAGCTGTGCCCCAGTTGTGTCTGAGAGATGAGCAGGCTGCATTTTGTCAGATTTGCAGCAGGTTCCAACAAACAACAAAGCTGAGCACCTCTTTGATCAGAGGCAGCTTTTGGCTGTGGGTGACATTACATGAAGGAAGTGTGGAGTACCAGAGGCTTTTCTCCTTTCCTACTTTACTATTTCCCTTCATGGGACATAATTTTTTTACAAAATCCATTAATATAACCTTTGCCTCAAAGAAATTATGGATGCCAAGGGCGATTTGCAAAAACAGGGATTAGTGCAGGGGATTTTTACACCTTTTACCACAGTGAGCTGACATTCCTGAGGGGTTGCTTACAAATCAAGCCAAGAAAGTTTTTGCTACACAAAATAGTACTCTGCACTCCTTTGACAGACTGGTTTAGTTAATATTTTGAAGCATTTAGAAATTTGGTTTTGCAATGATGGCTCTTTTTCAGTTTTAGGGGAAGGGAATATGCATTTAAGGGCAATGAATCCAGGAGCAGGACTAGCAGTCAGAGAGCAGCCAGGTTAGGAACACCAGACCGAGCTGAATGGGAGGAACATCCCTGCTGGTATGTGAGCAGCTGAGAAGCTGCAAGCAGCATCCCAGTAAAGGATGGATGTGTCCAGCACTCAGCATCTTGTCTGAGCAAAGAATCCCACAGCCTGGGTTTATTCATCCTTATCTGTGCAGACAGCGGAAAGCTCTTGGCTCCTGGGAAACTCTGTTCTGGGTGAAACTTGTGGAATTCCAATGCTGAATTCATCTTATCCCCACTGTGTGCGTGATGAGCGCCCTGGGAGCAGGAGCTGGGCTGGAGGCTCACACCAGCGAATGCTTGGAACGGGGCAGCGTTTCCTTGGAGGTCTTCAGGGAAGTGGTGGTTTTTTTGCTGCCCTTGAAGACTCTTCTCCTCACCTTCTCCCGGAAATCCTCTGACACGTAGTAGTAGATGAAGGGGTCAGCGCAGCTGTTGAAGGTGCTGAGGGCCAGGCTGACCATGTAGCTGAGGTACAGCCGGCCGTGCAGCCTGGAGCAGGGGCTGGAGTAGTGAAGGAGCAGGAGGACGTTGCTGGGGGCATAGAAAACCACGAGGGAGACGAGCACGAGGGCCGTGAGCTTGGCAGCGTGGCAGTAGCGGCCGCCGCCGCGCAGGAGGACGCGCAGCACCGCGCCCGAGCTCAGCGCCAGCAGCAGCAGCGGCAGCAGGAAGGCGCAGGAGATCAGCGCCACGAAGTAATAAAAGTAGAAGCCGTCGTCCTCGTGCCGGGGCAGGACATCGTGGCACAGCGTGAGGCCTGCCCCGAGCAGGGGGTAGGACTGCTGCTGCAGGGTCAGGGGCAGCGTCAGGGCCGCGGCGCAGAGCCAGACCGCGGCGCAGGTGCCGGCGGCCAGGCCGGGAGTGCGGAAAGCGCGGGAGGAGAAGGGGTGAGCCACGGCCAGGTAGCGATCCACGCTGATGCAGGTGAGCAGCAGCACCGAGCAGTACATGTTGCCGTAGAAGAGAGCCGTAGTGAGGCGGCACAGCCCTTCCCCGAAGGGCCAGTGGTTGCCCAGGAAATAGTAGGAGATCTTGAAGGGCAGCACGGAGACGAGCAGCAGGTCGGCGGTGGCCAGGTTCATCAGGAAGACGGTGGAGGCCAGGCGCTCGGCCCTGGTGGCCAGCACCCAGAGGGCCAGCGCGTTGGCCGGCAGCCCCAGCAGGAACGCCAGGCTGTAGAGGCAGGGGATGAGGCGCACGGTGACGGCGCTGCCCAGCTGGGCACGGGTGACCTCAGGGATCAGCAGGTAGGTGACGTTGTTGACCGTGGCCTGGTCCCCCGGGATGGCTCGGGGACACGGGGTGACCTCGGGTGTGCTGACCTGCTCACTGGTGCTGTTCTGAGAATAATCTGTGAGGAAGGCAGCCTGTTACTCACTCAGCCTGTTCCTCACTCAGCCTGTTCCTCATTCATCCTGTTCCTCACTCAGCCTGTTCCTCACTCAGCGTGTTCCTCACTCAGCCTGTTCCTCACTCAGCGTGTTCCTCACTCAGCCTGTTCCTCACTCAGCCTGTTCCTCATTCATCCTGTTCCTCACTCAGCCTGTTCCTCACTCAGCGTGTTCCTCACTCAGCCTGTTCCTCACTCAGCGTGTTCCTCACTCAGCCTGTTCCTCATTCAGCCTGTTCCTCACTCAGCCTGTTCCTCACTCAGCCTGTTCCTCACTCAGCCTGTTACTCTCTCAGCCTGTTCCTCACTCAGCCTGTTCCTCACTCAGCCTGTTACTCACTCATCCTGTTCCTCACCCATCCTGTTCCTCACTCAGCTTGTTCCTCACTCAGCCTGTTCCTCACTCAGCTGTTCCTCACTCAGCCTGTTCCTCACTCAGTCTGTTCCTCACTAAGCTGGACACTCTGTGGAGGCTGCGCACACAGCTCACCCCAAAGGCTGCTCTTTGTCTTTTCTCTTGGAGTCTCTACAGGAATGTTCTGGAAAGGCTGTTGGGTTGGAAAAGCTGGCTGGCAGAGTTAGGTGTGCAGGAGCCACCCTCAGCCATCTTTCTGAGAACATCCCTGATTCCTTTGCCCTGTGGTTTCCCACAGCTCACAATGGACTCTGATGCTCTACAGCCATCAGCAGGCCTGGGAATCCAGAGAGAAATTCCCATGTACGGCCATGAACATGCCTGGGGATCCAGAGAACAATTCCCATGTACAGCCATGAACAGGCCTGGGGATCCAGAGAACAATTCCCATGTACAGCCATCAGCAGGCCTGGGGATCCAGAGAGAAATTCCCATGTACGGCCATGAACAGGCCTGGGAATCCAGAGAACAATTTCACTGTACAGCTATGAACAGGCCTGGGAATCCAGAGAGAAATTCCCATGTACAGCCATGAACAGGCCTGGGAATCCAGAGAATAAATCCTCTGCCAGGCTTTCACAACAATCCAGAGTTCTGGAGCCACTCCAGTGTAAAGTTGTGGCTCTGGGTGTATAATTAGCTAAAGATTTCACTTTTGAGTCCTTTCTGGTTTACTGCTCCTCTATTTTTCCTTTCTCTTTCTAGTTTCTTCCACCCCAGCTTCTTTCCCTGCTGTATCACCTCTGTCAACCTCCCTCTTCAACAAGAGCCCACACGGAGCTCTATCGGGCATCCTCCCATGTGACCCCATTAAAAAATGAGTTTCCAGGGATCTTCCAAAGGTCCAAACCCCAGCACTTTAACAAGCAGCACTCACCATCGTAGTCCGAGGCCAGGCAGAGTCCCCAGAGGGCACAGCAGAGCAGGAGCTGCCTGCTCCCAAGGGTCCCCATGGCAGGGCAGGCTCTGCACAGCCCAGAGCTGTGTGGCAGCGGCAGCAGCAGGGACCCTGCTTACGCATTTCCTCCTGCTGTCCTTAACTCTCGGAAGGAACGGGGCAGGATGAGGGGATGGAGGGGCTGGCACCACAGGAGCTCAGGCTGGACACCCCCAGCGTCAGAGTGGGACTGGGAGGGGCTTGTTCATCCAGGCCCCAAGTGTTTTAGGGCTGCACTACATCCTCAGTGAGATGACGGCTCAAGTGACTCATCTGGGTCTCCTTCCTGCTTCAGAATATTCCTAGAAATAACAAATGTGGTTAAGTTTGGTGCAGTCTGCACATAAACAGAACCCACAGAACTCTGCCTGTGGGAACGCTGAGCATCCTCCCACTGCAGAGACCTGAGTGGCTCTGTGGGTGAGCTGAGGTCTTTTCCTAAAGCCTGAGTCACGACATTTGCTGGTACTACAAACAGGGAGATATCCCAGACACCAGAGCTGCAGACCACACAGACCTCCCAGTGATTCCAGGGGGCTCCTGCAGACTCGTGTTCTGGCAATGGAAGGGTTTTAGTGTCAGCCTTGCAGCCTTCAGATCAGGCTGGGCCATTCAGAGTTCCCTTTTATTCCCTTTTATTCCTGCTTCTCCTTCCTGGCTAAACAGCACCAAGCTCCTGCACTTTTTACTGCAGAGGATGGTTAAAAGTCCTCTGGGTTGGAGCTCTTTGCACTGGAAAGCAGCAGCAGGAGCACCATGAGACATCAAGGGCGAGTGGCAGAGAGAGATGCTTTTCTTCCGCTGATAAACCTCTGGGACAGGGAGAGCAGCTCCACGCAGCAGGAAAGGAAAGGGGCCTGCAAAGGGCACGCAGGAAGTCCCTGCTGTTGGGGAGATAATGGGGAGCTCCAGCCCCACAAAAAGCTGCTTTTTCCCAGAGAAGAGCAGTCCCACCCTGCACAATCCCCACTCTGCCTGGGAGAAGAACTCAGAGCAGCACATGGAGCTGCTGGTTGTGCCCAGAGAACTCGGATGCTGGAACAGGGACTGGCAGAGGTTCACTGAGCCTTCAGATCCTTTGCTGCCGGGTCCTCCCTGCTCTAACCCCCAGAGCAGGTCCCTTCTGTGCTCTGCTCTGCACAGCAGCTCTGGGAAGCTCCCAAATCCTCTCCCATCTCCCGAGTCAGAGCCCCAGAGTGGCCCTGGCCACCACGTGCACGAGCCAGTGGGACAGGAGGTCATGGCTGGGAGGGTGCTGGGCTTTGGGCTGTTCTCTGCAGTCCTTGCCTGGCTCTGCAGGGAAGGAAGGAAGGACAGGAGCTGGAGCCCAGGCAGTAGGAACTGTAAATTTGGTTTGGCAACCTGAGGAGCAGCTCGTTTCTCTCTCCTCGCCTCATGAATGGCCTCTTCTGTGAAGGTTGCAAATCTGAGCCTGGCTGCTGTTTGATGAGATTCTTCTATTCCAAGGAGAAAATGATCCTATTTCCTTTGCTTTCACCATATTCCCACATCCTTGTGCCGAGCGTGTCAAGAGGTGGAGTTCCACTGGCAGGGAGAGGGAAGATGCAATGTTAGATGTTTTGCTTTTGTGATTCTCTCAGGATTTATGAACCATTGCAGAATGACTCATGTGGCCACATATTTTCCATGCCTCAGCCAGGATCCTTTCCATGCTCTGTATGCAAAAAATTAGCCATAATCAGGTTCAGATAGTGTGCAAATCACAGCCCTGCTTCCTATGGGCAGGTCTCTGGAGTGGAGCAGAGAGGGGTTACTCATCGCTGTATCCTTCATTTTTCAGATGCTGTGTGATCTTAATGACTGCCTTAGATGCAGAACAGCTTGCCTGAAAATTCTTATGCCAGAGGTTTGTCACGGCTTGTTAACATCTCTTTAAGTCGTGTGATCCCTGCCCTGTGGGGTAACAATTTGGTTTTAAAGTAATTCATTGTGCAATAGATCATCTCCTGGGAGCAGGGGCTCTTCCATTCCGTGGCTCTGAACCCAAAAGATGTAATGCTGGAAATCGGGCTGGGGATTTCAGAGCTCAGGGGGAGGCTACAAACACCACCTGGCCTGTCCCATACATCTTGGAGGCTTGGAAGAGCAAACTGTGGTGGGTAAAGGATGGGATTCACTCTGTCTGCTCCATTCCAGTGCTTCCAGAGGGTTCCTGAGCAGCAGCTCAGAGCTGGTTCTGCAGGCTCTGCACGTTCAAGGTACCCTCAAATCTCTGACACAGGTCCCCTCTTTCTCCCTGGGCCAGCCTGAGACTCTCCATGGCTCCAGGGAATCCCCTCCTCTGCCTCCTGCTTGTCCCACAGCTCTCCTGTTCCTCTGGGATCCCTGTTCCTCTGAGATCCCACCTAATCTCCTGTTCCTCTGGGATCCCTGTTCCTCTGGGATCCCACCTAATCTCCTGTTCCTCTGGGATCCCTGTTCCTCTGGGATCCCACCTAATCTCCTGTTCCTCTGGGATCCCACCTAATCTCCTGTTCCTCTGGGATCCCACCTAATCTCTTCCCTGGTGACCCCAGATGTTCTCAGCCTCACACTGCTGAGGGAGGTTCTTCAGAGCTGCTCTTCTGCTTGCTGGCAGTTTTCACTTCACACAATAAAAGTCCATGAGAAGACATTTTCCAGGAATATTTGAAGCTTATTAACACCCCTACAGCTCTGGAATAGCTTTTTGGGGCCTTTCTCAGCAAGATAGTGACACTGGGGTGGGGGATACCTGTCACAGGGACATTTCTCTCTGTGCACCTCTATGAAAAATCCTGAGAGAGAGAGAAATGTCCCTGTGGCAGGTACCTGGTCTGACACAGCCACCACCATCATCATCATCATCATCAATCATCCTCATCATTCCTTTTCAGCATCAGGACCCTTTAGATTAATTCTTTAGCACAGATTAGGAGTTGTTAGACTTTAATTTAGTCTATAAATTGAATTAGTTCTAATTCAGAGGAATGGCTAAAACATGAAGAAAACCTCAATTTGCGTTTGCACACAGTTCTAGACTCTCTCACAGCCCTGATCCTCCCAGTGCATCCCTGTGATGTGGAAACACATAAAAAGCATCCTGGAATGTTAAATGCTGAACTCAGGTATTCCCTTTAGCAACTCTGAGTTTAATTGTGCAAACCATTTACACCTGTCCCATCCTGCAAACCTGAAGGATGTGTTTAAGCTGTTTGCTGAGACCTCCAAGTGCTCTCATGTCACATCTGGCTGTCCCTCCCCTCAAGTGCAGGGATCATCCCCTTTGTGAGAGGGCCAAGAGAAGACTTGTGCGAAGTGGGCTGTGTCCTCTGAGACCCCACCACCACCATTTTAATCCAATTATTCCGTGCAGTGGATGCACCAGAGGATTGTAATGGGGAGAGCAACACTTTTTTTCCCTGTGAGTGAGCAGGGGGCTGCACAGAGAGCAGAGCTGCCTTTTGTTATGGCAACGGAAGTGTTGAGGATGATGTAAAGGAAACTCCTATCAGCTCTGGGTCACATCACTACAGCTTCATTTGCAAAATCCACTCATTCATTTGTCGTGCAGAGCTCACAGGGAGCACAGTTAAACATGTTATTACCCAGGAATTTGGGGAGGCTGAGGGAAAGGCGGGTGGAGGGTTATTTTCATGGTTGCAGTTGTGTTGTCTTAACCTGTAGCAGATGTGCTTGTGGGGTTGGGAACTGGAATCAGCCCCTTCTCTTGAGCCCTGCTTGTGTTCAGGGATTCCTGGGGCCAGGCCTGGGCTGTGCCCCACCTCTGGCAAAGGTGCTGCTAGGCAGGAACCAGGCTGCAAGAAGCCACTGCCTGGCAGGACACAACTGCAGAGCTGGAAGGGTCCCACAAGGATCAAATCCAGCCCCTGGCCCTGCATCTTTGTGAGACATTGCTGAGCCTGGGCAGGGAAAAGCTGAAAAGGTCACAGAGCTGGGAGGGACCCTCAGGGATCCAATCCAGCCCCTGTCCCTGCCCAGACCCCCCAACAGCCCCACCCCGAGCAGCCCTGAGAGCGCTGTCCAAACGCTCCTGCAGCTCTGGCAGCCTCGGGGCCGGGACCATTCCCTGGGGAGCCTGGGCAGTGCCAGCACCCTCGGGGGGAAGAACCTTTCCCTGAGCTCCATGCCAAGGCCTGGCACAGCTCCAGCCCTTCCAACGTTTGCTTTTGAGACCTTTCTGGTGGAGCAACTGTGCCACCCCCTGGGCTCCCTGCTCCAGGAGAGGTTTTGGCAGCTCCCACGTGAGTGTAGCCCAGCTCCTGCGTGGGATCTCTGCTTGCAGGAAATGTATTTCCCTTTTCCATCAGCGAGTGCACTGCTCACACCCTCACACAGCACTTGCTGACACACAGCTGCATCAGCACACCCTGCAGCCTGTCCAGCAACTTCAACCTTTCCATTGCATTTTTCTACCATTTAAAATACAGTTTCAGGTAAAAGACAATCCATTCTGGGGGTTATCACAAAGTTTAAATTAGTTGGAAAGAAACATAAAACAGTGAGACCTGCAGACTTTTAAAATCAATATTTTATTTTACTTGAATGTGCAAATAAATATAAAAAAAACTACATTCAAGGAGCTGGCAAAGCAATTACAAGCCCAAAAGCAAAGATCCTTCAAACAAATGGAAGAACAAACTCTTGACTCAAGGTCGTGCAGATACACAGCTGAAACCCTCAGACATGAACAAGCCCCTCTCAAACCTGCCTGATACTCCCTTCATGTCCCTTGCTACTCTCAGCTTCGAGACAATAGCATTGTAAAGGGCAAAAGTCTTCCTTAATCAGTTCAGATTATAAATTAAGGTTTACAAAATAAGGATGCTTAAAAATACCTGAAGTACACTTAGAATGGATTGATGGAACAGGACGGTGCCCAGGCATGTTGCCCACCTTGGTACACCTGGAATCAAATGCATTTTAAGCCACAAGTTGCCACCTATTTTCTAGTAAACAGTCTTCTGTATCATAAAACCATAAAATTTGGCACAAGTGTCATCTCCACTGGGAGACAGCAGAGAGGTGAGCAGGACTGAGGTGTGTTTTGGTGAGCTGACTGGAAGGGAAAGGGGGACACTGTGCTTTGCACTGGGCTTGTCCCCCAGCTCCCCCCAGCCCTTGCAGAGCCTCATGGTCTCTTATCCCTGCAATGAGGGCA